AGGACTTTGTCACGTTGAGGAAGGTCCCCTCTATGCCTAGCTTTAGAGTTTTTATTATGAAAGTTTTTGTATTTTGTCAAATGCTTTTTCCACATCAACTGTGATTATTGTATGTCTTTTTTTTCCTTCACTCTTTTAATGTGGTATATTACATTGACTAATTTTCATATATCGAACCATTCTTGCATTCAGAGGTAAGTCCCAGTTGGTCATGGTGTATAATTCTTTTTAAATACTGTTTAATTTGGTTTGCTAGTATTTTGTCGAGGATTTTTTGCACTTATGCATTTAAAGGATATTAGCCTGTAATTTTCTTTCCTTATAGTGCTTTTGTCTGGTTTTGATATCAGGGTAATTCTGGACTCATAGAATGAGTCAGAAATATTCACTCCTTTTCAGTGTTCAGAAGGTTTTGAAAAGGACTGGTATTAATTCTTTACATCTCTGGTAGAATTCATCAGTGAAGCCATCTCTGTCATGTTGAGAAAATTCCCTTCTGTAGGAGTTTCATTACTGATTCAACCTTTTCCATTGTTATAGATCTATCCAGATTTTCTATTTCTATTTAAGTCAGTTTTAGAATTTTGCATGTTTCTAAGCATTGATTCATTTTATGTAAGCCATCCAATTTGTTGGCATATTATTTGTTGTAGTATTCACGTATAATCTTTTTTATTTCTGTAAGATTGGTAGTAATGTACCCTCTTTTATTTCTGATTTTAGTAATTTGAGCTTTATCTTTTTTTTCTTCAGTCAGTCTAGGTAAAGATTGTCAATTTTGTGGATCATCACAAAGAATTTTTGGTTTTGTTTATTTACTGTATTGCTTTTCTATTATCTACTTCATTTATCTATACTCATATTTATTATACTTGCCTTCTTCTGTTAGCTTTGAGGTTACTTTGCCCTTCTTTTTCTAGTTCTTTAAAATATACACTTAGGTTATTGATTTGATATCTTTCCTTTTTAATGCAGGAACTTACAGCTACAAATTTCTCTCTGAGCACTGTTTTTTCTGCACCCCACAAGTTTTGGCATGTTGGGTTTTCATTTTCACTCATCTCAATGTATTTTTTAATTTTCCTTATGACTTCTTCTTTGATTCAATGGTTACGAGTATATTGTTTGATTTCTACATATTTGTGAGTTTTTCAGTTTTCCTTCTGTTATTGATTTCTACTTTCATCTCACTGTGATCAGAGAAGACCCTTTGTATGATTTCAGTATTTTTAAATTTATTAAGACATTTTGTGGCTAAGATACAGTCTGTCCTAGAGAAAGGTCCCTGTGCACTTAAGAAGAAAGTGTAGTCTGCTATTATTAGATAGTGTGTTTTGTATATATCTGTTATGTCTAATTGGTTCATGGTGTTGTTCAGTCAGTCACTTCAGTCGTTCAGTTGTGTCCGACTCTTTGCGACCCCATGGAATGCAGCACGCCAGGCCTCCCTGTCCATCACCAACTCCTGGAGCTTGCTCAAACTCATGTCTGTCGAGTTGGTGATGCCATTGTTCAGGTACCCTATTTCTTTATTGATCTTTTGTCTAATTGTTTTGTCCATTTTTGAGGGTGGTTTTCTCCAATTGTTGGAACTATGGGAAGAGTAAACATTTTCTTTTTTTTCTAGTGCATTCTATATTGTTTTAATTATTTATAGTGAGAATGCATCATTTTTACAACCAGGAAAAGCAATGATGCCTTTTTTGTTTTGAAGGGTAAAAAGAATAAGTAGGCATTCACTGTGGAGACAAAGTGGGGAAGGACTTTGGTCCTAGCAAGGCAGAGGAACGGCAAAGGAGAAGCGACCAGTCATTAAACCATCCTCTATTCCAGGAACTGCCAGCCATAAGGCATCGCTGTAGGGCATTGTAGGTGGCTGGAAAATGTGGCCACATTACCAAGGGCCTATCACATCTTTGAAAAAAGAATACAGCGCTAGTTCTTGCCCTGGGGGACAGGAGATAACAGGTTTTGATTTTACAAGTTAAGCAAATTAGTTAATGCATATGGGGAAGAGCCCAGAGGCTGGAAGGCCACTGGGGAAGGTGTTGCAGTAATTAAGGAAAAAGAAGGTGGGACTGAAAGTGAGTCATAGCTTGGAGGGTAGAGAATAAAAATGGAAATACAAGATAAGTGGAGGCCAAGTCAGACAACAACTACCCGTAAATGGGAAGTGGATTTGTCTGTTTCACCAGGGTCTCCAGTGCTGTAGCCTAGCCTGGTGTATTAATTAATGGCAAGAGGCCAGGTCCAGGGGTGATCATGATCACAGTCATAATCACTAACATAATCATAATGAAAATAAAAATTCCTATTAAAGGAGCACTGTAGCCCCTTTACAACTGGGAAAATCCTCTGACTTCCATCTCCTAACACATCACAATGTTATTCCCATTCTACAGATGAAGAAACTGAGGCCTAGAGAGGTAATGCAACCAGATCAAGACCCATACTCCTTGGTGCTAACATTTATTCATTCATTCATTTATAGCCACAGGGAGGGAAGCTCTGCTATCCCCCAGCAGAGCCTGAGCAATGACTGTGTGTTCACTTTCTACTTGTACGAATATTACATTTACTATGCCTCAGTCTCCTGCTCTATAGAATGGGGGAAATAGCACACTTCCTCATATGGTTGCTGAAAGAATTCAATTACTTAAAGAACCTAGAGCCTGGCACATAGTGAATGCTCAGTAAATAGGTGCTCTGATTACTTTTTCTAATTATCACTAGTATCTACATAGTATCCCAGGCAGATCACCTAAAAAGAATGAATGGAGGGGTAGAGGGAGTGGAGCCAAACTCCTAGCATCCACCAGGCCCCTTCCTTACTTCTCAAACCCTGACTCCTACGAAAAAGACCTAGAGGTTGGAATCTGCATCTGTGGTCTCTTTCACTGAGGCTCTGGGCCTCTTTGCAGCACCCACCGTTTCTGTTCCTTTCCATGCTTCTTGGTGCTAACATTTATTTATTCATTCAACAAACATGCACCAAACTCTGGGCCCACACTGAGGGCTAGGGCTACAAAGAAAATTACAGCCTGGGCCTGCCTTCAAGAAGTTCACCGTGTATTCGATTCAACTTACCCACTCCCTCACACACTCCCTCATTTATTCATCACTTACTACGAGCATCCTCTGGGCCACACACATACACTGTGTTTATATCTCCTCCTGTCTCTGGACACAAAGCAATTATTCCAGGAGTCTTTTCCCAGAGGTTGTTTGGTTTCCAGTCTTTTTCTCATAATTTTCTTCTGTGTACCCAGATTGTGCCCACACACAAAATCACAGAAAGAAATCAAAACAGAGATCCAGGAAGAATACACTCTTCTCCCATATTTCCTGTGGCTGAAGATCTTCCACTAGTTCTTGTAGTCTGGAGGGGAGAGAAGCAACAACTGAATCCTTTGGACTTTCTTCCTTTCATTCATTCATCCATTCATTGATTCATTTATTTATTTAGCAAACTGCTTACTGAGCATCAGGTCTGGGCCAGGCCCTGTACTGGTCAGTACAGAAAACCGAAATAATAACCAAAGAGTACACCCTCAAGACAACTCCACTGAGTCGCTCAGAGGCTCCTTCTTTACAGGAATATTTAGTGAACATCTTCCATGCATCAAGCACCAGTTAAGACTTTGGGACTGTGGACAAGAAAGATGAAGTCCCTGCCCTCATGGAGCTTACCAACTAGACAGAGAGACAGACAATGGGGAAGCAACACATAGATAGGCAATGACCCATGATCAAAGTTTAAAGAAAGTAAAACAGATTGATATGGTAGTGACTGAGGGTGAACAGCATAAGCTATTTGAATCTCAGCAGGGCACTTGCCTTCTCTGAGATAACAATTACACCTACCTCTGCTGTGAGGAAGAAATGAATTAACATATGTGAGACCTAGCACACAATAAGCACTGCAAGCTATCTATTTTTTTAAAAAAAGATGCATGAATGGGTTACCAAAACACTGACAGCCAGTGTAGGAAAGAGTGATATAGAGGTAAGGCATTCTGAGAGCACTGGGGAGGAGCCCAGGGGGCCAAGTGTGACCCAGCCAGGGACAGAGGTGAGGACACTGAACACAGAAGCTCTTCTTCCTCCTCTCCCACCCCCACCTGAGTCCTGCAGCCCACAGGCCACCCCTAAGGATGCTGCTTCTCTAAGGAGCTAGAGTGGGTGGGGTGGGACAGAAGAATCACACATGCCTGCCTCCCCCCTCAAAAAAGAGAGGAGGCAGGGCTCACAGGTGTCCACTGAGGCACAGGGGAGGGGGCATAGTGCCTGCTTTCAAGGCCAGAGCCCTTCCAAGGCCCTTGGCTCTCCAAAGTGCCCATTGCTTCATCTGCTGATGGAGATGCAGGGGGCAAGGGTACCCACCCAGATGCTCAATCCACTGGAGAGTGAATGAAAGGTCAAGCTCCATCCCTGGAGTCCCTCCCTAGATCCTAGGCTCCCTTCCAGCATCCCATCTTTCAGATGAGCACACAAGGGCGGAGGGAGAACACAGATCATTCTTGGTCCCTCAGTTCAGAAATGGCAGTGGCAGTTAAAACCTGGCCTGCCCAGCAAGCGGCTGTTCTTTTTATCCTCCTCCATTCTGCTTCTCAAAGGGATCGAGGAGTCTTTAGAAAAGACTATGGTGGGGGGGGGGGGGGGGGCGGGAGACTCAAAGAGGGCGGAGGGAGTGAGACACGAACTGAGGTGAGGGCCCCAGGATTTGGGGGAGGTGGGGGGGGGGGCGTAATTACAACCAGGAAGGGATGGAACCACAGGAGAAAGCCCCACCTGCCCCACCCCCACCACAACAGGCATCCTGGCAAACAGGATGAGGATGGAGCAAGACCCTCCTCTCCGCACCAACCGCCCCCCCCACCCCAACACCCGTAGCATCAGCTGACCCGGCAGCCCCATTTCAAGCCTTGTGCCCACAGGGACCAGGATGTGGGCACCCCAGGGACGGACAAGCCCTGACGTAGACAAGTCTGCGACCCCCCATGCCCGGCCTCCGCAGCCGCAAGCCAAATACTCCTTGTGGTTTGGGCCGGGAGCCAAGCGCCCACACCCCAGCTCACGGGACCGCAACTTCCCTGTTGCATCAGGTTACTGAGCGCGTGCACACAGCGCAGAGCCTGTTACACAACCGTGGTGCGCGCCCCCGGCACCCACACACCCCGGGTGGCCCGACAGCTCCACAGAGGAAACCGCAGCTGTGCAGGGAGGGCACAGGCCCCTCTACAAGCTCTGGCGTGGAGAGCAGTTGGGGGAGCGGTGGGGAGGACACCCGGCCGGGAGCCAGGGCTCTGCGGGCGCCGCCACCGGCTCACGGCGAAACCCCTGTAAGCCACGTCCCCTCAGAGCCCGTCTCCCCACCTAGAAAGGAAGATCTCCTTCCACCCTCACGATCCTGAGACTCCCTCCCCTCGACGCCACTCTCACCCTCTGCAACCCCACCACCATCCTCCTTCCCCCTAGGAAGGTCTCTGAGAAAGGGAGGCAGGAATTATGCAGGGTGGAGACAGAGGGTTGGGTGCCATGACCGCTAAAAGGGCCCTTCTCCGGATAGGGCTTCCCCCTCAATAGAAGTGGGTGTGCCTTGAGGGGAACCCCATGGTCACCTCCTCCCTGGGAAGAGGGAGGGCAGTGGCCAGAGCTTTTTGAAGTGACTCTAGGATCAGGAGATGAGGGAGGTAATTTTCTTCCTTGCACTTTTTTTTTTCCTTTCTCTATAACAAACATACAGTTGCATATTATTAATACTTTGCTACAAAAGGGGGGACGGGCTTAACCTTCCCTGGGGCGTTTACCTTCTGCCCAGAACGGTGCCTGAAACCAGTGTTTCCCTAAGCGTGCCATGGGGTGAAAGGGCTGGAATCAGCATCGGAAACCTGGGCTGAACAAAGTCTGACACGTTTTCCTGCCCCCAGGACCTCTCTGAGCCTCTAACGTGCTAGTATGGGCCGAGACCTTCTGGGAGGAGGAGAGAGATGAGGAAACACAATTGGATGCAGAGCTATCTATAGGGAAGCATCTCCAGAGCCACTTTCTAGGTACTGTGGGAACTCAGGGTCCAGCGAGGTGGAAAGCCAGGCACACACCCAACCGTGAAGGGCTGCCACGGGAGGAGAGATGGCAGGCCCTGGAGGGGACGAGGGTAGACGCAACTGCTTGAGTCAAACCCCAACCCCTCTGCCCAGAGCTGGCCAGAGCACCGCATCCTGGCGTTGATGGTTACGAAGGCAGGTAGTAATGTGAGAGGGCCCTTGGGTGGCCCGGCCACCTCCCTGAGGTTACTTAGATCTGCAGTGACCCCTGCTGGTTCTGCCCAAAATCACCCCTCCCCTTATTCCTCGCCTTCCTGGTCTACGTCACCCTCCTCACCCACCTTCTCCTCCCCAGTCTCTGACCCTCCAGCATCTCCCCCAGTGTTCCAGCCCTGTCAGGGTGTACTCTGACTACATCCTGTCACCAGGACTCCACTCGTCTCCCCATCCCTGGGGCTGGGTTCTGGCTGGGCTGTGATAGACTAGGTGAGTGTATTCTGGGGCCTGAACTGGGGAGACTCTGATGGCACAAGGAAGGGGGCCTCAAAGACTGCCTGCCTCCCTCTCGGGGGCATAGGACACCCCTAAGAACACTGTAATAAAGGCAGACACTCACTGAGCACTCACCATCTTCCTGGAACACAGCTAAACCTTTATGTAGATTATTCCCTTTGAGTCTCATAAGAATCCTAAGAAGTAGGCACCATTTCTACCTCTGGCATTAACCCAGTTTTCAGAAATGAAACTAACAAGTAAAAAGGTAGCAAACTGCAAAGCCTGGATTCAAATCCAGGTCTCTGACTTCACTTATCCATTAAGCTATTTTATTATTCTCACGTCTCCCCACCACCAGGACCACCATCCTGTTCCAGGTCTGCCCAGTACCCATTGCTTTAGGGAAATGTGCCTCCAGGATGGCCCAGGGAACCCAAATCTAACCGGTTCTTATACCCTTCCTCCTGATAAACTGGGCTACAGATTTTGATTTCCCTTCCCAGGATGCACTCCTTCTTCTGATCATCATGTCTAAATTTCTTCTGGGCAATACCCAGGCCCTTGATAGAAATGACTTACATGGAGATGACTCACCTCCACCCCCATCTCCAGGGGGAGACATGTGATTCTGGCTTGGCCACTCAAGTGCCAACATGTTCTAATTGGTTCAGGAAGTCACATATGAACCAAACTAGGCCAATAATGCCAATGCTGGGATTTTACTGAAGCCCATGGGAAGGCGAATATTAATAGTTGTCTGCTCTGGAGTTGCTAACTGGATGTGCATCTGTCAGAAGCTGCCGGAGAAGGAAGCCAATTCAGGGGAGCAGAGACCAGTCCTGATGACATTATTCCTGCTGTGCCAAAGACAGGACCACCTTTGAACTCTTCAGTGTCCATAAGCCAATAAGTGACTTCTTTGTTGTTCTTGTCATGAGCAAGTATGAGTTAGGTTCCTTCCTTTAAAACAGAGATCTATCTGAACCTCCCCCCTATTGTTAATCATTGTTAACAGCTGTGTCTCCTTCTTGCCTGTTCCTCCTATGCTTATTTAAATATGCTGGACATTTTTTTAAATAAAAATTGACACCACTGGCTACTCCTTCCTTCAAGATATATATACTCTTTTGCTTATTTTCTATGAAACTCCACTCCCCTAGTTTTCCTCTGGCCTCTCTGAAGTCCCGTCCAGCTCATCTTCCTTTGCTGGCTCCTCTTTATTTGTGAGTAACAGAAACCAACTCTGGCATTTATAAGGTTCCCCACCCCCCTCCACTACCAATAGCATGTATTAGAAAAACATTGAGGAAGTAGCTCAAGGGTTGGACAGGGAGACTGGAAATGAAACATAAATTACTTGGCTGGATTCCAAAGGTCTCTTTCATGTTTGTGTTAGGACACTCAAGATACCCCCAGTCCCAAGGTAGAGTCTGGTCAGCTGAGCCCAGCTCACAAGGCCACCACTAGGCTGTCCCATGCAAGTGCAAGGAAGGGTCTGACAGGACAGATCTCTAGGAATCCTTCTAAAACTCTAGAATGAGAGGAGATTATCTAATATGTCAGCCTACGAGATAGTACAGAGACCATCCCCAAAGGGAAATAAGGACCAGGAGGCCACAAAATGAGAGTGAACGTCTTCCCAGGGTTCTCAGGGTTGAGCCTTTGGTGTTTTCTCTTCTACTTTTAACTGCTCCCTGGCCCTTCTTATTCCCTCCCGTGATGGCTGCAGTTGCCAGTAACATACCTGTTATGTGTGTGTGCTCACTCATGTCTGACACTTTCTGCAGCCCCATGGACTGTGGCCCACCAGGTTCCTCTGTCCATGGAATTTTCCAGACAAGAATATGGAATGGGTTGCCATTTCCTACTCCAGGGGATTTTCCCAACCCAGGGATCGAACCCATGTCTCTTGTGTTTCCTGCATCGTCGGGCAGGTTCTGGGAAGCCCCCAACTGACAAGCCTATGATTTCCAATATAGACCTCCAACCCAGGCCCGTCTCCTGAGGCCAGATCCGTATCTCCAGGAATCTTACTACGTAGATGGCTCACAGGCCCTTTAGCTCAACTGGTCCAACACTGAACTTGTGCTGATCCCCACACCTGCTCCTCCAGACTTCCCTGGAGGTCCAGTGGTTAACAAGCTGCCTTCCAGCACAGGGGATGTGGGTTCCATCCCTGGTTAAGGAACTAAAATCCCACATGCCATGGGGTAGCTAGGCCCATGCATCACAACTACTGAGCTCTGCAACAAGAGATGCCACCGCAAAGAGAAGCCTGCATACTACAACTAGAGAGTAGCCCTCACTCTCCACAACTAGAAAAAGTCCATGAGCAGCAGCCAAGATCCAGTGCAGCCATAAATAAATAAATGTTTTAAGGTAAATATTTGGAAGGAAAAAAAAACCTACTCCTTCTTCAGGGTCCCTCAGCTCAGCAAATGCATCAGTCACTCAGCTGATCAGACTAGAAACTGGGAGTCATTGAGTCATTCTCAATGCCCTGTCTGCCTGAGGGCCTCCACACATGCCAGTCCCTCTCCCTTTCCAGTCTTCATTGCCCCCGTCTCTCACCCAGCTAAGACCTTGTGTCATAGACTTCTATCCATCTCTTCTTCTTTAGTATTAATAGTAGAACTGCTGATCTGTTGCTAAGGCCATGGTCATCTAGCATAAAGACAAGATTGCTCAGCCTTGCTAAGTCAGCCTCAATGGGTCTCAGAATTCCAGTTCAGCAAACAGGCTCACATCTAGCTGGGAATCTCCTCCAGCAAGGAGGAAGATGGAACTCACCAGCATCTTCCCATCAGGTATCAGCCCAGGAGGCCATGAGAAAAAAGGGCTCCACAGGCCAGGCGTGCCCCTCCAGGGTCTACCGTCTCCAGTTCTTGGTTCTTGCTCCGGTGTCCCAGATTTTCTCTGACCTCCAGACTCCAGAGAATCCCCCTCTCCACCTCTGTCTTCCACCTTCGGTGATCTCCCAAAGACATGAGGATGTGTCCCCAGAGGTGAAGTGTGGAGGATAAGGGATGGGGGACTGGTTTGGGATTAAACCCCACTAGGCTGTGACCTCCTTAGGGCAAGGATCAAGCTTTATCCATCCCTTTCCTGCTACACCTGGAAGGGTACCTGACACAGAGTGGGCACTTAGTAAGCATCTACAGGATAAAGGGAAAGGATCTGGGGTGTGTGGTGGGGTGGGGTGAGGATAATTTGAGATGCTGCCCACTGGGTCCTCTGAGGGTTGGGGGAGAGCAGGAGATGGGAAGGGAATGACAGCTAAGGGTCTACCTGGTCCCCACCACTGCTTTTGACAGGGAAGGGGACACAGCCAGGAGAGGCCAGGGGGAATCCAGGGTTCGGTGGGAACTGGATCCCAGCAGACCCTCCTCACCCCTACACCCACACCCAGATGGGGTCTGTCACATTCAGCTGTTGTCTCTGATCTTTGATGCCCCTGCTCCTCTTGGCAGAGCACAATCAAAGGGCCACTGCCACAGGGCCACATAAGAGCCACACAGGGGCCTTCCAGGCCAGTGTCTTCTCTCCACCCCTAGCCACTGCCAGGGACCAGGCTGATCCCAGGGAAGCCCCAGAAACAGGAGACATTCCAGACAGGTAGCTTGACTCCAAATGTCACCTGGAAAAACCTTCGGGAGCAGCAGGCTGAGTCAGATGCCTGCAGAGAGCAGATGAGGAAACTGAGGCCAGAGAGCAAGGGTTTGCCCCCAGTCACAGAGGATGCTATCTGTAAAATATGAATATAGCAGTGATCGTACTCATCTTACAATGATGTGGGGGAACTCAATCAGGACACACATCAGGTGTTTGAAAAGCGCCTAATATGTAGCAGGCACTCAGTGAACGCTGGCTATCGCTACTGAATCATCATCAAAAGGGCTCCTTGTCTTGCCAGAGTCTTTCCCAACCCAGCAAAAGGCCTTCCCCTGAGGAGTGATTTGCAGGAGCAAGCCACAGGCAGCTCCAATCACAACCACTTCCCAGGGTGTGGGGAGAGCCTGGGCCTTTCCCGATGCTCTCACCCACCCCGCCCTCCACTCCTCGGTCTCTGGGATTCAGTGGCCCCTCGGCCTCTCTAGTCGCCAGCCTGTCTGCCCGGCTCTCACGCCTGATGCAGAGATAAACACATCCCGCGATAGTATTGTTTCCCACTTCCAGAAGCTCTCAAGTGTGATCCTAGATGGTGGGATTAGCCAGGCATTTGGGCAGTTTAGGGGCTTGGAAGGATTGAGAGGCTGTTCCCAGAACTGGCCAGCCCCATCCTTAAAGGCAGTTGAGGTTGGCTGGGCCTGCAGACAAGAGATGAGGGGAGCAGCTGTGACCTGAACTTCTGGAACATTCTGCCGTCCTCCCCAACAGCCATACACATTTAGCCTAAGATGGCAGGAGGGGCTGCCCAGCAGAGCGGAGAAATGAGATAACTCTCTCCAATAGTCAGTTCTCTCCCTGCCCCCAGAACAGAGCCTTCTGGTCCCTCTATATCCCCAGGTGACTAAACCAGGTGACTAGCCAGGTGTCTCCTGGGGCAGAGAAACTCTGAGCCCATGGCAGAGAGCACCCACAGCACCCAGAGCCTCTGAGGGGCAGGCAGAGGGGAGGGGAGTCTGGAGGAAGGAAGTGTCAAGACTGCTTACATCAGACTCCCCTGGTGGTCCAGTGGTTAAGAGTCCACCTGCTAGTGTGGGGGATGCAGGTTCAATCCTTGGTCTAGGAAGCCTCCACACGCTGTGAGGCAGCTAAGCCTATACACCACAATACTGAACCCGAGCTCTAGAGTCTGGGAGCTGCAACTACCGAAGCCCTCGCGCCTGGAGCCTGGGCTCCACAACAAGTGAAGCCACTGTAATGAGAAGTCCACGCCCTGCATCTAGAGAGTAGTCCCCAGTCGCCACAACCAGAGAAATCCTACCTGCAACACCGAAGAAACAGCACGGCCAAAAATCAAATAATAATTTAAAATAATTTTTTTATTAAAAAAAATTTTTTTAATGTATGTTTAAAAAATTAGAAAGAGGGCTTACCTCATCATTTCTGGTAGGGTCAGCCTGAGGAGAGAGGCCTTTCTCTCCCAGCCAGGGCGGGCCCTCCTTCCCACCCCACCCCCAGGGCTCTGGGTACCGCCACTCTCATGACCTCACTGTCATGGCCAGGCCAGGCAGGTGGCCGGGAGCCAGGGACCCGCCAAAATCTGCATCCCCTCGAGATGAGCACGAGCCAGGCAGGGCCAGGACGTGTCACTCAAATAACCTCCACCCGCCTGAACCCACGCCCGTGAAGACAGCCTGTCCCACTCCAGGATTTACAGCCGCCAGGCAGGCTCACCTCCCCTCCCGACAAGGTTGAATTTTGGGCGCCCTCCACTACCGATCCCATCTGTCAGCCAGATACATACCAAGTATACCCAAGTCCTCCCCTGCTAGGTTCGGCTCAGCTGTCCCGGCGCAGGACGTCTCCCCTGAGTCTCCTCCCTGCCCCTGACCTCCCCGTTACGTAACAGAGTGACGGCCATCGTGGTGGTGATGGCGGAAGGGGTAGAGGGGAGGTGATGGAGGTGAGGATGTGGGCATGGCTGTTGCAGTCATCCTAGCAGTCTCAGTGGTGGCGGTGGTGATGGAGCTGGTGTTGATGGCAGTCATGGTGACGGTGCTCGTGGAGACAGAGGTGACGGTGGTGGTGACGGAGGGCTGGCAGGGACAGCAGAAGCGGTGGTGTTGCTGGGAGGTGACGATCGTGGAGGTAGCAATGGTGGCTGAAGCAGCGTGCAAGAGGTGAATAGGGGTGCCTCCCTTCCCTCCCTAACGCTGGGGATGCAACTAGACCCTCAGACGTGTCCCCGAGGACTCTAGGGACAGTGGTGAGTGAAGAGTATCCAGGACATTTAGTCAGAGAGGGCCCCAGAGCAATGAAGTAATGACCCCTCGCCCAGTTCCCCGGTGAGGCATGGTGTGTTCCCCTCCCGGGCCCTGGGAGACCTTCCCTCTGACTTGAAGCACGTATCCTCTGGCCCAGAAACTGCTGAGCTTCCCTTGAGAGAAGGTGGGAAGAGGCCAGGCTTCAGAGATGGAGGATCCGATGCTGGAATCCCAACTTCATGGAACAAACTTAGGTCTGAATCTCTCTATAGAATGGGAATCAATTCTTCCCGGCAGGGTCCTTGTGAAGAATGAGATAAGTATCTTTAAATGTGCCTGGCACAGGAGAGTAGTATGATGAATAACAGATCTTTTTCATTTTTCATTCTGCTAATTTACACAGCTTTTTTATCAACCCCTGGCCCCACCAACCCCTTTGCCATATGCCTCCTTTTATCTGTTTTCTAGAACTGACATCACAAATTACCACAAACTTGGTGGCTTAACACAACAGATATGTGTTACATTGCCATTCTGGAGGCCAGAAGTCTGGAGGCCAGACGTCTGAAGGCAAGGTGTCAGCAGGGTCAGGCTCCCTCCGAAGGCTCTAGCAGCGACTCCTCCCTTGTCTTCTCCAGGTTCCAGTGGTTTAAGGCGTCCCCTGGCTCCAGGCTCCCATCTCTGCTTCTGGCTTCACATGCGTCCTTTCATGGCCTTCTTCTCCCTTCTCTCTCACATCTTCGCATACAAACCTCACAGGGGTTTCTGTAAGTTCGTTTCTGCTTCTAAGAACACTCTCATTGGATTTAGGGCCCAGCCTAATCCAGCGTGATCTCATCTCAATCTTTACCTTAATGACATCTGCAAAGACCCTATTTCCAAATAAGATCACACAGTGAGGCCTCAGGTAGATATAGATTTGGGGGCGTTGGAGGTATTAAACCACTGCACCCCTCCCCAACCTCTGCCAAACCTAACTCCCCAAACCCCCTCCCACTTGGCAGGATCATGGCCCTGGTCCCCCTATACCTCCCAGGCCAGCGCCCGCCCCATCCCGTAGCCTGCCAGGCCCTCGGCCCTGGGCCGGGCTCCCTGGTGCCGTGCATGCATGCCTGTGTGCATGTGCATAGACTCTCCTTTTCACTTGGCGGTGAGAAAGGGGGATTCTAGGCTTGAGTTGGAGCCCACAGGGGCCTCTCTGCTCGGAAATGCTTCTTCCTCTCCCCCTGGCAGCTGTTTGGCTTGGCGGGGGCCCAGCTGGCAGGCTCAGCAGCCAAGGAGCCCTGGGGGGCAGGGGGAGGGAATAACGAGGGGCAGGCAGCTCCCTCTTCGGGCCCAGGCCCTGGGAGCTGGGCCAATGGCGGGCCTCCTTGCTGGCCGGCTCCAGCCCCCTCGCTCTTGGTCCTCCTCCTCCTGTCCCCTCCATCCCACAAAGGGGAATTCTGGAGACCCTCCACCACCCCGCCCGGGCCAAAGAGAAGACGTGCAGAAGCAGAGCAGCACTGGCAAAGCAAGAAACATACACACCAGGAGAAAGAGCGGTCAGCAGGCCCAGGGGCTTTGCTCGGGGGGCTGGGGGCACTCTGAGGGCACCTCGGGACACCCTGGACTCCTTCCAACCTCTGGATCCCCTGTCCCCAGCCTCCCAGCCCCCTCCACAACCTGCTCCTCCCACGTCCCTGAAATCTCCCATTCTTAGTGCCCCTCTAGGGCCCTTGGCTTCTCCTCCCAGGGCCCCTCTGAACCCCTGAGCTGTTGCCCATTTTTCTGACACGGTCCTCTCTTTAGGTGAGCCGGATTGAAAATGATGCACCCCAGCCCCTAACAGGTGTTGGACCCTTTCACTACTAATTGAAAAATAGTAACAACAACAACAAAACCAGGGAGGGGCCCAGTATAATGAGCCTGGATTTTAGGGTCTGATAGGTCTGGGTTCACGTTGACCCATGTGACCCTGGACAAGTCTTTCAGCCTCTCTGATCCTCAATTTCTGCTCATAAAAATGGGGGTACTCATAGTTAATTTCCAGGTTGCAAGGGTAAAATGGCACAGCTTCTGAAACAAGGTAGGTGTTTTCTGAATGGTAAAAATGTACTACATGCCAGGCACCATGTTAAGTGTTTTGCATAGGCTAACTTATACAACTCTAATAATAGCTTCATGAAACAGAAAGCATTGCATGGCCAAGAGAGCTGAGCAGTGTGCCTTGGGTTCCCTAGCTGGTAAGTGGCTGAACTGGGATTCAATTCCAAGTGCTTGGAATTCAGCCCCTAATCTCTGCCTCCACCACTGGCAGTGTAGCCAAGGTCGATAGTATCAGGATTAATATTATTAGAGAAAAAGTGTGCTTATGTAAATTTTGGAAGGGAAAGTGTATCAAGAGTATAGTTTTAATCTTATTTGGGCTTCATTTTAAAACTTTTTTTAAAGCCTCAGTTATTTTATGGGTTTGTTAACTTTCAGGAAGAGATGCAAATTTTGGACCAGCCCTAGAGGCTCCATGTTAGTGCGGCTGGCGTTGGTCGTCATCTCCAGAGTCTTGCTGGAGATGAACCATAGCACCAGAGCCCATGCTTCATGGTCAGTCTTGACCCAAAGATGTCACCATTCCTAGTTACCTGTCACCACATAACCAGCGTTGATTGGAAATTTTTCCAGAAATAGGATAGAACCGCTCATTTGTCTCTTCCATGTCATTTAAGCTTAGTGATATACCTAAAATAATAATCAGGGACTTCCCTGGTGGCTCAGTGGTAAGGCCTCCAAGCTCACAATGCAGGAGCCATGGGTTCGATCCCTGGTCAGAGAACTAAGATCCTGCATGCCACATGGTGCAGCCTGAAAACAAAACAAAGTAACAGTTGGATGTTAATTTTACAAAATGTTTAAAGGTATAGTAAGCAGCTGGGTCACAGGGGTTTTCCCTGCAGGTGCAGTACAGAAGTCTTCCTTGCCCTGCTCACATGAATTTGCATGAAGCTCTTGAGTAGGGATCTGCCCAGCTGCCTTGGCAGTCCTGAAGTCTGGGACACAGAGGCCAGCTCCTCCCAGCCTCCCAGTCACTGCAGGAGACCACTGGACTGGAGGCTCCTTCGGCTCTCTCGTGCCCTGGCACATCTGGAAGCTGTTATCCTCCATCCCTTCTCCCCCCTCCCTCTCCCTGCTCCAGCTGTTCTTGGTGGCTAATTCTGAGAAAGACCCCTCAGCCATGGATGCCTGCAGAGGGGGCGGTGGGGGAGGGGGTCCTCCCCACCGTGTGGGTGGGGTGGGAGGGAGGTGGGCAGGCTGCAAAGGGTGCGTGTGCGTCACCCAGAAGAGTTGGTCTCCTCCTCCCTCAATCATGCAGACAGTCTGCCTGCCCTCCGGGTTAGTTGGGGTTGAGTAATGAGGAGGAAAGAGAGAGGGAGGAGGCAGGGGAGAGTGTGGAGGGAGACCGGGGACAGAGATGAAGAGAATATTTCTGCTGGAAGAAATCTGCAAAAAGTCATCTGATATTGTCTATCCCCCTGTTGCCTGGAGGTCACGACAGCAACCACATCGTATAGCGGACAGAGGGCAGCCTTTGTGGTTGAGCAGAGCTGGGTCACAGTCCTGGCTCCATCACTGTTGGTCTGTGTGACTTTTGAGCAAGATCCTTACCCTCACCAGGTCTAAGCAGCCCCAGCTGTGCAATGGGAGGATGGCACCGCCCTTGCCAGAGGGTTCCCTGGTTTGGTTTACATCCAAGATCACTGCCTCCCTCCTCTCTAAGAACTGTAGGAAACTGCCCGGGATGCCTTCCCCTCACTCCACACCCTGCCCCACTTTCTGGGGTCTCACTCACTAGTGCCTCCATCCAGTTCACTCACTCCCCCACTTGCCTGGACCCACTCTGAAAGCCATGCCCTGCCCAGATGGAGCCTGACCTTCCCTCCGCTCCGCCCAGTTCTGCCCTCCTCACTTTCTAAACTTGCTGAAGACCTCCTGCCCAGGGAGACTGCCCCCAAATCTCCCTCTATCCCATAGTAAATGTGACCATGGGGAGGTTATTGAACATCTCTGAGACTCAGTTATCCTGGGGGTTAAATATCACCACCGCTGCAAAGATGCGACATGTCACCATCACAGAAATTCTGGAAACTATGGTTTCTCCACCACCACTCTATAGATTTGGAGAGAAGGACACACACTGACATTCATCAAACCCTTGCCACACATCAAGCCATGTACTGTGCCTGGAAGAAAAGCCAAGGAAATCCTGGATTCTCCTCTTAGAAGACGTGAGCTTGAAAAAGCCAAGGACTGGTTAATATCTCCTGTGGGTGCTACTGCATAAGGGCAGTGTCCCCAGGCCACCGCACAGCTTGCCCTGCCTGTCGTCATCCTGGCTGGGACACTCAGAGCTGCTCAGTCCCAAGCCAAGAAACTGATCCGAGCACCTGCAGTTGGATGGCCCTACACCCACACTTTCCTGCTGGTCGACAAGCTTCAGTCCCCCTGGAACAATGAAATCACATCCCCCCACCCCCACCCCTGGGCTCTGACCTCATTCTTTGCCTCTCCTCTCCCCACCCCTCATTCCACACCCCCTTAACCCGTTGGAGCCAGGGCTTCCCTGGTGGCTCAGATGGTAAACAGTCTGCCTGCAATGCAGGAGACCCAGGGTTTGACCCCTGGGTCAGGAAGATCTCCTGGAGAAGGGCATGGCTACCCACTCCACTGTTCTTGCCTAGAGAATTCCATGGACAGAGGAGCCTGGTGGGCTACAGTCCGTAGGGTCACAGACTCGGACATGACTGAACAGCTAACACTTTCACTTTTCTTTCCACAGGAGCCAATCCAGGTTGTCTCCGTGTTATTTTTTCACAACCATTCTAGTGCTTCTTTTGTGCCAGGCACTACGTCTTCTATCTCATTCGACCTCCCACAGCAACCCCCCAA